GTGATGTTTAGCCATACGATAGATAGATAGATAGAATATTGAAAAAATTGGCACTTACCCCCTTTGGTACTTCCACTCTTCAATTTAGGATTTACTTATCAGAGTTAACAGAAAATTTAATTTTTTATTTGGATACCCTGTATATTTTTAATTCACCAAAAAGGAGATAAAATTACCTTTCCAAAAATATAACACACTCGATATTTTGTTCGAGTCCCCTTCGAAATACTGTATTTTTAAAAGTTCGCCACTTTTAACTAGTAGGCTTTAAAGATCCCTAAATTACGATCCTTATTCAAAGTAGGCGAAGTTTTAAAAACTCTATATCTCAAAGAGGAATAGAACAAAATATCAAGTATGGGAAAGTCTACATTTTGGGAAAGGTAATTTTAAGTTCTTTTCAATAAATTAAAAATATACAGTGTGTCCCATAGAAAAAATACATTTTTCTGTTGATAAGTCGTAGATTATTAATTTTAATAAACCCAAGCAGCATTTGGACGTCGGGACAACGTTGTGTCACGCGACCAAACGTCGGGGCGCAACGTCGGCACAACCTTGTGCCAACCCTAGTCTGCACTAGTTTGGAGAATAATTTTTGGGTCGAAACGACGTTGGATACCGACGTTGGCTAGAAGCCTAATTTAGTACAAACTGCAACGTTGTTTAAAATCCTATAATTTACAGAAATACAAAACTAATATGGCGTCTAAGTCGCGTTTTATCCTAAATTGGGATAATTATAGTAAAACTATTTTTTTTATGATTTAGTTAGAGACATATGTCAGATGGCAGTGAAGGAAAACAAAACAAAAGTATTTAAGTGTGGAGGATGTTTGAAGATCATAATTATTGAAACACTTTAACCGACTCTATAACTCTTTACCCAAGGCAAAAAAGTTAAACGCAAACAACTTTATTGATAAATGTATTGTTTCTACTTTGAAAAATACTAATGGGCTTTAAAATTAAAGAAGTTTTAAAAATTTTCTTGAATTTTTTTTTAGTAAAATGAGAATAATTTATTCGCAGTCGAAAAAATTGTTTCCGCGTGTTTTTTAGGGTCAAATATTTCAAGTTAATGCATTCAAAAAGTAGGAATTGCTATTTTAGGAACGAAACATTTTCTTATTTAACAACATGGCGGCTTTCACTTTGTTGTTTTGGAGATTAAGATGGAGTAGTTCGAGTAGTCGCATACTGGACTAATAAAGTCGCAGTTCGGCCTTAACAGGTAGTATACTAGTCGCAAGATTGCCTAATTTAGTCATCCTAAAGTCTAGCTTGTGCCGCCCTCTATAATCTAAATAAACGAGGGAGTGGATAAACTATCGGTAATATATGTCGATGTATATTTAAATTTAGTTTTATATGTACCTTTCTTATGTCCCATTTTAATTAAGTTTTTTTTTATAAAAACAAAAACAGCACTGAACTGTCTGACTGAACAGAACAATGAAGTGAAAATTTAAGATTTAAGGTTATGGTTCAATACAGTTACAAAGTACAGTTGCAAAAAGGTAGTGACTCGACGTCCTACCAACGTAAGAATAAGGAAATCTAAACAACGTTGGAATTAGTAAAACAGACGACGTTTGAAAACTGACGTCGGAAAACTCTATATTGTCCAACGTTGTAACTACGTTGTCCGAATCACCTAAAGATCACTTAAGCAAAAAAGGTTACAAGACAACGTTTATTCGACGTCGCAGAAGCTTCTACTTTGCTGTAGTACTAGTCCAACGTCGGCACAACGTTATAAAAACGTTTAAATTTATTTTAATACCTAAGGTAGGGAGCTAACTATTTTTTGTAACTAATCCAACGTTGTGTTTAGTAAACATGTGGTCGCAAGTCATGAAAATGCTACTTGGGAAATTATACTTAAACCACTAAATTCTAAGTAAAAAGGTGCTTTGGAAATGTTTTCATAAAAATATAAAGTTTTCCATAGCAAAAGAGTTACAGCGATTTGTTAAAAATGCACATGTCAGTTTTGCATCTCTACTTCATCGTATTGCCTCTTTACAATGCAGATCCGTTCATAGAACACAATTAAGTCATACCAAAGTTATTTAAGTTATGAAATACCGGGTGCGTCTCAAAAGTGGCTGACCCCTATAACTTTTTTATTTTTCCAGTTAAAAGAACGATATTTGGTATCTTAGTATATGATATAAATTAAGATTGATTGACGTATTCAATTGTTTTCGATCACTTCCTGTTTCACCGGAAATTACTACAGCTTTTAATTTTTAAATGGCACCCTCGGTATTTTTTTTTACTTTATTCGATAGAAAATAACACTCAGAATAGAATGACATATCATATGTCAACTTTTGACATTTTCACATATGGTTTAGTTGAAATTATAATTGCGGCAAATTTGACTCGAAATACCAAGTGTGTGGTATCAAATTATTGTATTGCTTTTCCCAAATATGGTAATGAGCCACTCTCGTTCCATTTGAAAAAATTGAGATATGATTAAAAATAGGATTTGAGCATATTCTAACTGGCCAGGACAAGACACTAAAAACATTAGACTATCAAATCTATTTTACCACGGCTCACAGTGGAACGAGCTTATGGGAGCGGTTGGACATGAGGTTTTCTTCTCAACACTTTTAATCCAAAGGACGAAAAAATGATTTTTATATACCGTAATAATGTATAAACAGAACAATTTTAAATTTTAATGAAAGAAAGTGGTTGACTCATTACAAACCATCTACAGGGTGACCTAAAATATAGTATGTTTTGGAAAAATCTTAGAATTTTTAAATGCTAATAAACTTTGCCAAACTGTCGTGAAATGTTTTAGTTTTGATTCTTTTAAAAACAAATATCTTTAGATTTTACCACTGAAATCTAGGACTACTGATACCGTATTATAAAAATATGACGCATATATTTATGTGTATATTTATGTGTATATGGTACACTGCTTATATTTTCCTATTTAATATAATTTTGCTAATATCTTCGGTTTGAAAGAAGATATGAAAATGCGGTTTTCACTGATTTTTTAAGCTTTCGTTACTCTTACTGTCAGCTAAAATTACATATACCATCGCATTTAATTTTTTTGAAAAAACGCGCAATGTTTGTTAAATTGTAAGACAGCGCCCCCTAGCGTCTACGTTCAAAAGCTTACTATTATTGTTTATATGGTATAATATAGAGTAAGAAACGCTCTTTTAAACGAGCCCCCGTTAGTTGGATTCTGTCCATTCAGTCCGGAGTTATTAATATTTAAATAAAAACAGATCTAACCTTCCCCCACCACTTTATTTTGGTAGGTAGGGGAAAATGGTTCTAACAAATAATATTCAGAATTTACTGAAGATTATGAAGCTATTATTTATAGTACCACTTATCTAGGCAAAATTGTGTAAAAACTCCATTTTCTTATTTTTCTATAGCAGTTGCACCCTCTAGCGGCCATTCTACAAACTTGAAAATAATTTCCAGCAATTTCTCATAGCCTCTTTAGTTATGAATATTTTTTTCCGCAGGCCTCACGGCTAATACTTTCCGAGATATAGCCGAGAGCTATTCTTAGTGGGACACCCTGTACACTAACTTTATTATAAGCAAAGAATATAACAGTAAATCTACGCACTAGAATATTTTTAACACAAACAAAAAAGCTCAACGCTGCACTTTAACCCTTTTTCTTTTTCCAATAGTTTATAAGTTTTCCATATATTTGTAGCACCCTGTATCTGTTTTTGATTTAAGCGTCATTTTGTATTTATCCAATTAATAATTAAATATTAATAAATTTATAAGAAAATAAAGATAATTTGACTCTTGATAAAGATAATTTGATTTATTGGAAATGAAAAGGTTTTTGATTTTAGTATAGCATGTATTAGTAATATATTAAATGGAAATTTTTAGAGGGGGGCAAGCTGGGGCAAGATATTAAATTAGTTTCGTTATTAGAAAGGCTTAATCTACCTTGTGACATATATAAAGTAATGACCAAACTTTGGCCATTTTTTTTATTTTTCTACATACATATTTTTTTGCTACTAAATCTAGTATTTAGTAGCAAAAAAATGTTTATGTGTCTCTTATATACAATAATTGTTCTCCCAAACTTTTGTGACTATATATATCTTTTATTTTAAAGTGAAAACAATCGTTTGCACTAATATATGTATGGTTAAAAAAATTATTAAAGTCTTTGCCACTTTTTATAAAACTAGGTTGTTTCACAAGAAATGAATACCATAATTAAGTCAGCGTAATATCTTCATTTGAAACTTTTCAAACAGACATATAATTAAAAATATTTTTTTGAGTTGGATAAAATATAACGGTCTGGACTTTAAGTAATTAAAATCTTCTACCAAAATTATTTAATTTAAAATTTTATTTTTAAGTCAATGTCCAACATTTTATATTGTGTCTTTCCACCGTGCGGCTCCTTGATTAAGAATTAGTGTTTTTAACATAGCCATGGCACTCTCTGGATCGAATTTTAAAATACAATTTTTTATTAAGCGAGAATCTCAAAAGTTGACATATGATATGTCATTCTATTCAGAATGTCATTTTCTATCGAAGGCCGGTGTCATTTAAAAATCAAAAGTTGAGTAATTTCCGGTGAAACAGGAAGTGAAGAAAAACAATTGAATACGTCAATCAATCCTAATTTATGTCATATACAAACATTCCAAATCTCGTTTTTTATCTGAAAAAATAAAAAATGTTATAGGGGTGAGCCACTTTTGAGACGCACCCTGGACTGACGTTGTCTTAAATTTAATCAATATTGAAACTATCACCAGAAAAGATCAGGCGAATAGCCAAACAGTATAATCTAAACTAATAAAAATAAATTAATCATCAAACAGTGATACATGTGATCAAAACTTAAAAAAATATCAATCCAAGAAGATATCTTCTTAATTCATTATATTGTCTACCAATTTAAAACAATATTATTTCAGTTGACTAATAATTAATCAGAGTTTTTTTATTTCCAGGATGAAGAACGTAAGAAAACTGGACGCTATCTTGCAGTGGGTGTGGTACTGTTCATCGTTGCCATTGGTCTATACCACGCTATCTCCAGCAGGTCCACGCAAGTTTCGGCATTACTCGGAGCGACCATGATCATGTTTTTATATTTACTGTGGTTAATATATGCATCTCAAAGGAGAAAACTAGCTGTTAAGGTAGGCAAGAAGGTTTTAATAAAATCAAATCTGATCAGACAAATTATATATTCAAAAATATCACAAAGTTGAAGTTATGCCATCATCATCATTCCCAGCTTATTCAACCATTTCCAATTATTGTGTAGCCTCCCTCACATATTAATATACTCTCTTTGTAGTTGGGCCTATTGTTGTCTATTATTGTCTATGCGAGCCCAAGTTGTCCCTGCTAATTTCCTAATATCATGGTCCCATCTCAGGTTTGTCTTCTTCCAGGTCTCTTAATTCCTCGTGGGTACCGTGCTGTATTTTTGTGGTCCATCTGTTGTCGTCCTTCTTGCCAGGTGTCCTGCTCATTGCCATTTGAGAGATTTGATTCTGTGGATGATATCTATTACCTTAGTCCTATACTTTGGTACCCACTCTATTCTTTTACGGTTATTCCATAGATTTAGGAAGAACAGATATCACATTATGCATTTTAACCCGATCAAACATTCGGAGGTTGACTACGTACTGTAAAAACCAACTGAGATAGAGAAGGCGACATTGCCACATATCAAATTTGCGCCTATCTACTTAGTTTGATTTGCAGAAAAGGTGACTTTAAAACCTTCACCGGATATCAATAAATCTCAATTTCTTAATTAAATGAATAGTGTATTTTTAAAGAAGCATGCGTAATAATATGTTATTAACCAGAGGATATATGCGTTACTATTAAAGGACATGTTTACTGTTTAATGTGCTGAAACGTCTAGAAATATTGGCAACGTCGCTCCTAGTCTTCCAGAATGAAATGAGCCGTCCGTCCCACCACCCCTCGCGACGGCCCATGGTCCGTTATAGCGTATTACCACAGATAACACATAATTATTTTATTATATTATTAAACATTTTATCATAGGTAATATTCTATATATTACCTGTGATTTTATGCTAAAATGTTTAGTTTTGTGAAAATATTACTTACCTATAATATTTAAACGAGTTCCTGAATGTACAATTTGTTTATCACGATGTCAAGTTCTAAATCTTGTATTGGTTGTCTAAAACTGTTTGAATTTGCTTAGTTATATTGTATCCTATATTTTATTAAACAAACTCAAAATAATGTTTATAATTACCTTCATCAGCCTTCATATCATTAAAGTGATAATAATAATCACTTATCATTATCAGTCATTATGTAGTTATTTGTTCATTTGTTGCTCTGTTTGTTGTTGTTTGTTTTCAAAGATCATTTTTGAGGTTAATGTCATATGAAACTTTTCGTAATTAGGGAACTGGTAATTGACGTGTGACGATAGATTAATAAAATAATAATGAACGTATTAAGTTAAATATTTATATATTAATTTAACATATCTATTTCATGTTTATAAATTACATAATTTTTAATTTGGTATAGTACCTTTAATTTTATATATTCATAATGAAATGAAATATATTTCGATATAACGTTTGGCAACCACGCAACTGAAGTGCAAGCGACATCTGTGCAAGAGAAAGCAAAACCTCCCAAAAAAGTGAGAAAAGAAATCTAAAAATTTCAGATTATTCAAATGTCACTCCAATATTTTTCCAAATTGGAGTGAAATTAGGGTGACAATTTTTAACACGTAAGGAGCCATCTGGATTATGTGTTATCTGTGGTATTACCTTTAGCCTTTGGTTTAGCTTACGGTGTGTTTGAAGTCGGAATCAAGTCCGAAGTGAACTTTTCAGTGTTTTTCAGTAGTTTTTGTTTTTGTTTAATGTACTTTTGAATCTGCGAATTTTCAATATGGTACGACAGTGTCAAATGTGTGGACAAATAAGCTCAAATTACCCGAATTTGTCTTTTCACAGGTAGCACAAGGGAGCCTCTCACAATTAAAATAATTTCTAATTATATTTGTTGAATTTTGATCTATTAAAACAAGAACGTAGTAGCCGGTAATTGAATTATAATTCGTCTCAATTACTACCTAACTGTTGTAGATCATAACAAATTTGAATATAAACGTTACATATGAAATTTTATTATAAGCCAGAAAGTGACATTTTTTTCTTAAAATTGCGTCCTATTTTGGTCATTATATACGATATTCTAAAGGAATTTTGCTTAACAAATTAACAAATAAACAAAGGTGTTTTACCAGACCTTTTTTTCATTTTATTGCTTTATTATATCTGCCCCTTCGGCCTTATTTAGACAATTTTTTACCACCGTACAAATACATCTTTCTAGAGTTATTTGTACGGTGTGTTTATCTTTTTTTAGAATGGGACGAACTGTAAATAATTCTTAGGCACTAGTTTTATACATACCTATATAGAGAGTGACCCAGGCCTCCAAAAAAGCTTTTTACCTATTACGTTTTTGGTTTGTGATTTTTATTTCAATTTTTTACATAAGATGGGGGCCATTGTAACACACATTTTCAAAATATTTTTGTCAACATACAGGGTGATTCAAACCGCAATACATATGCTTAATACAGTTCATGAAGATTAGGACATTTAACTAAAATTTGATTATCTGATGAAGCTACCTTTAAAAGTAATGGATTTGTAAATAAACGTAATAGGTATTCATTATTCTGCGACAGTCCATACTGTAGCACACAGATTTTATACTTTTAATGATAAATGCCTTCTATTGCGAGACTAAAAGGCAATTGCCTCGTATCCGAACCATCATAATACAAGAAGAAGACCGAAAGTCAAATCTTGTCTTATATTTTCAAAAAAAACACAATTTTCTCATTAAATATTGATTTTAGGTATAGGAAGTTATTAATAATACAAGACTAAACAACTATTACACAGTACTTCACAGGCAGCTATCGATTGCGAACTAACTAAATCGTTACTAATTAGGTACTAATTTTGAAAAGTTCTTTTTAAGATAAAAAAAGGTAAAACTAAAACCTAAACGATCTTTGAGATTAAACGGGAAGTTCTAAATAATGTTGCCTATTCTAAACAAGAAAAATTTATTTATAAGTTAAGTTTTATAACATTCCTAATTAAATTTGGGCGAAAAGAATATTTCTGTTTGCTGTAGGTAATTTTCTTAGGGAAAATGCGTAAATAAAATTGACTTTTTAAGTCAATAAAAGTCTAAAGGGCAAGTTATTCCAAAAAAGGACTGTCCTTTTTCTAAAAAGGACAAGTGGCAACCCTAGGTATTTCTGGAATGGAAATTTAATGACAAATCTACAACTTTGGTTTGAAAATATATTCCGGCCACCTATGTTTACAAAAATGTCTAAAATATGCCTAAATGCAATTGTCGATATTCTGAAAAAAAATTGAAAGAAAAGTCACCAACCACAAACCTAATATAGAACTGTTTCGGAAGCCTGAGTCACCCTGTAAATATTCAAAAGTAACTGAAAGTTTATATAGAAGTAACTGAAAGTTTAAATCAAAAATCGACGTTGGAGCGATTTTCGAAAACTACTAACGGTTCAACATAAGTATATGTGGGATATTAATTGTATTATTATATTAGACTTTATAACAAAACTCATCTGACGAAAAAGTGTTAATGTAGTATATTAATATGGAGTAAAAATTTTACTAATTACTTTACTTTTACTTTACTAATTAAATTCGTTTCAAAAAACGATACGCCACTGGCCATTAGAACAATCCAAATGGGCCTAGTTGCCGGGGTCGGAAATTTTAGACTTCTCTGTCTCTTCTGTCCTTGTTTGACATATTGGAATGTTTGATACACTACCAACGAGTACTTATGAATGAGATGTTCGGTCTATCTTTATAATGTCTTTGGGTTATTCCCAGCATATTTCGTTTCATTGAGCGTTGTGCCACCTGCACTTTACTTATAATATCCGTTTTAAGTGTCTAGGTTTCGCACGCATAGGTCATGACCGGTAGTACTCATTGGTCGAATGTTTTTTTTAGATAAAGTATTCTTCTATAAGCTATAAGTACTCCATGCTAACTTAATTCTTCGGTTGATTTCTGGTGTTAGAGATCCCCAGCTGTGTATCATCATCATCATCATCATTTAGCTTATACCGTCCACTGCTGAACAAAAGCCTCCCTTAACTCTAGCCATTTCCTTCTATTTTGTGCCACTTGAATCCAGTTTCCAGCCACCCTCTTAATGTCATCTGTCCATCGACTAGGAGGTCGTCCTCTGCTTCTATAGGCCTCGTGTCTCGGTCTCCATTCCACAAGTCTCTTTGTCCACCGTCCATCTGTCACCCTAGCCACATGTCCTGCCCAATTCCATTTAAGATGTAAGACAGATATCACCGCATCTCTTACTCCTGTTCGGTTTCGTATTGTATGATTGGGTATTTTATCTCTGAGTGTAACTCCCAACATAGACCTTTCCATTTTCCGTTGCATGACCTGTATTCTATGTATGTTCTTTTTTGTCAAAGTAAGCGTTTCAGCTCCATACGTGAGGACAGGCAAGACACACTGGTTAAAGATCTTTCTTCTTAAACATATGGGAATATCAGATCTCAGTATATGCCTTAGTTTGCCAAATGCCGCCCACGACAAACCTATTCTTCGTAGAATTTCGTGGGTCTGATTATCCCTTCTAATACCGATCTCATGCCCTAAGTATTTATATATATGCACTTGTTCCAAAGGTATGTTATTAATGTTTAAATTTCCACTTAGTACTAGGTTTGTCATGTATTGTGTCTTTGATAAGTTAATTTTTAAACCGACTTTTTCTGAAGCATCATTCAGCATATCCAGCATATTCTGTGCCTCCTGTATGTTGTCTGTTATTAAAATAATGTCATCTGCAAAACAGAGATGATTTATCAATTTGCCATCGATGTTAATTCCTGTTGAATCCCAGTTTATCATTTTTAGCATACTTTCTAGCACAGCAACGAATAGTTTAGGGGACAGTGTGTCGCCTTGTCTTACCCCTCGATCGATATTGAATTTATCTGTGCATTGATTTGTCGATATTCTGACGTTTGCCGTGGCATTATCATATATATGTCTTATGATTGAGGAGTATCGATGATCGATGCGACAGCTGTATTAGTTGTCCGAAATATATATATTTTCTACTATTTCCAGTTTTGTCTTATTTATTAGAATGACTAGATAGACCCAGACTAGTCCTATAGTAGTATAATTAACCTCCGTAGAACAGCGTGGAATCGAGGGCCTTTAGCGCAAAAATTGGCTGTCTGTGGAGACGGTTACCGAATGATTTGTTGTTTGCTTTACATGTCTATGATTATTATTATTACTTTGTCTACAGTATGTCCCCGGATTGTCTTTACAAGAGGAAAATATTTTTTATTAAAAGTAAAGTGCATTCCTCATAATAAATTTACTTGTTCTAAAATGGTTAATCCCAATCCCGTTTATACTTTTCCAAATTTTCATACCCTTTTAGAGAAAATTAGAAAAAACATGAAAAATAGTAGACTAGAAGTCCTAAAAATCAAAACGCGTTTACTATGGTAATATAATTTCAATTTCATTCTTTGGTGGATGGTTTTAACATAGTTGTTGCTGATATTCATAGATAAAGGAAATAAATTTAGATTGGAATGCCCGTCAAAATTTTAGGTCGCGAAATTAATTTTGGGTCCCGACCGTTGTACGCGATCTGGCGCTGCTATAGCGGTTGCTAAGAACTCTTGTCCATATCTCTTGTCAAAGTCAGAATCTTCAAAAATTATAAAATCTTTCAAAATCTAAACCGCTCTCATTGAAAAAATTCCGAAAAGTGTTTAAAGCGTCCATTTTCAAAGTAATTATTGCTATCTTGTGAGTTTAATTATTTAAGTTTGATTTACTCAAACACGTGATAATTGTGAAAAAGTGGCATTAAAAACTTAAAAAGCTGTGCTGTGAACTGTGAACTGCAAAAACCATCGTGGATCGTGGCATAACGTCGGTTTGCAATGTTTCATAGGTATTTCATACATGTCCTTATATAAAATAAAGTTTCTTGTATGCAACACACTGTATTGTATTTTATTTATAAAATTAAAAGAAAATAATAATAAATTTGAATAAATAATATTTGGCGATATAAGTCCGGAAAAAGCCGAACCGCTCCAAAATTTTTAAAAGCTTTGGGTTGTGACCGTTGCAAGAATAGCGCCAAATACTGTTTACATTGTCCTTATGGGTACTTTCCAATCTAAACTTGTTTCATTTATCTATGGCTGATATTTAAGTATCACATTTTCCGAACTATTATCACAGGGTTATCACCCTTTCTGTAATATTGCATTAAATAAATTTTTAGTTTCTTTAACATTTTTAAACGCAAAAACTATGACGTTAATTAAGAGTCTATCAATTATAATCTATTATAGCATGAAAACGAAATACATTATTATATTACCATAGCGATTTGATTTTTATGGCTTGGAAAAATTCTACTAAATTTTTTTGTTTTTTTTTCTAATTTTCTCTAAAAGTATAAACGGGATTAAACAATTTAAAACAATCAAATTTTTTTTATTAACAACGCATTTTTTTTAAAAATGTTAATAAAAAAAATGTTTTTCCTCTTGTAAAGACAATCCGGGGACATACTGTAGTCCAGATTTAGTTTTATAACCGCACTTATTCTGGCGTTTTACAGAAAACCGAAGAAACCATCGAAAGACAAGTCACGGACGTTCTGGAAAACCTGAACAACATGAAAAAGATCCAGAACTCGTGCGGCTCTCACGAGAATCAAGTCTATGCCAGTAGCGAGGACGAATTGGAGCGAGTTCCTTTACAGAAGAAAGAAAAACTGACCAACGAGGAGCCAGGCCCCGACAAGAGAAAAACTTTTGAAGAGAATGTCAGAGACTATTCGTTTCACATACCTCCACCCCACACGATATCCACAGGACCAAACATCTATATCCGAACATATTCCATCGGATAATTTGACGGATTTACGGAATTTAAATACGGCGAGCGCTCCTAAAATACGGTAATTGCGTAGATTAAATGAAGTTTATGACAAGAGGAAGATTTACGAGTTATTCGAATCCGAGCAGTTATGAAAAACATCAAGCAGGTTAAGAAAACAATCTAGTGTAATTCGTTTTTTATGGTTTTTACGTCATAAAGTTTTCAGCGAATTTCTGAAATTAATTAATGTTCGAGTTTTCAACGAGTTTCATTTGGAAATATGAAAAATAAAGTTGGAGATTTACTACAACTATATATTTGTTTTTTTAAAAATGAAAAACAATTTAAAAAAACGCATTTTTTGAATAAAATGTTTACATGAATTTCTCTATCAATAAATGTCAGAGACTTGGTCATCAAACCGTGTTCCCGTAGATTACTTAAATACCTACAAATTTTCTAAAAAAATAAAAATTAACACATTTTTTGAACACAACAAAATAATATTAACTAAACAAAACTAGAAAGCGTCATTTTTACTGCATCACAAGCAAATAAAAATTAATACATAGCCAAAAGTCATAATTCAGGATTCCTCTGGGGGGTGCCCAGCAGTACATGGGGGGAGGGGCACCCCTGTAGTTATGCCAATGATTAATTGGTTGATTTTGACTCGCTTGGCTAGTTCTGCCACGCCTACTTAGTGCCAACTGAGCGGGGAGGCGGCACCATATTGGGTAGCCATCTACCCCTGTAGTTACGCCAATGCAGTTGATTGAAAGAATTGGGAAGCTATGCAACCTAATGGGCAACTTCGTGACAAGGCTGATTTGAGTTCCCCTTACGTCTCAAGTGCTGTACGGTGGAGCCTCTACTCGTTCTGCGACCAACGCATAAAACACTCATTTTCTCTAATTCGGCTAGAGAAGGTATGTCAAAGACGGTGTGGAACTGAAAGCGACAGTGGTGCGATATTAAAATGTGTAAAATCTGGAATACATTTGACACAAATATCTTTGGATGAAAAATCCGCGGTTAGGTTGTAGAAATTTATTATCGAAAAAAGTCGTTAAGTTGGCTTGGAAATGACGATTATTGACATTTACCATAATATTTTACATATGAGATTACATCGATCTTCTTTTCTCTGGTGCCGTTCTTTGTTTAATCATATAATATTAGATATATTAATTTGTTTAACGATAGAAAATCCGTATTCTTAACGTACTCTACCCAAAATCCGTAAATGTATGGATTTATCAGTAGTTCTGGCAAAAATGTATCCGGAAACCACTTATTCTGTCGACTGAAAGCAAAACTACGGTACAGTATTCTTTAATCGTTGCTCTGTAAACGATAATCAGCGCGCTGCGGCGCAGAGCTGAACTAAATCTCGGACAGGCAAACAGCAACGCCAGCTACATCTCGGACAGGTTTTGCGCCACGAAATCGCCCATAAGGTGACGCATCTTCTTATTTCTTGAATCAACGGTTATATAATGGAAGCTCTTTTACTGGAGGAAGGAGCGTGTACAGGTTTTTAAAAAAGTATAAAAGGCACAAAAAACTGGGCTCGCAAAGATTTTTTTTAATTAACATAATAATAGAATAATATTTATAAATAAATATCTATACTAATATATAAAATCCTTAAGTGACTGACATACTGATTAATCACGATCCTGCTCAAACCACTCCAAGAAGTAAGTAGTCCAATTTTGGCATACAGGTTGATTCTAGGGTGTAGAGTTTCGATAAGAAGGGATTTTTCGAAATTCCAGTTCCAAGAGGGTGAAACCACCCCTCAAATATTACAATATTTTTTATTTAAAAAACGGCCAAGTTTCCGAAAAAACGCTTAAACACGTATATTTTATTTTGTTTTTTTACATATTTTAAGATTTTTTAAAAATGTATACAGGGTGTTTCAAAAAATCTGGTCATTGATTAATTACGATCCGGCTTAAAGCGCTTGACGTAAAGAGCTGATTTTTGGAAAACAAATTGACTTTAGGGTGTAGAGGTTCGATAAGAAGGGATTTTTCGAAACTCGAATTCTAAGGGGGTGAAACTATCCCTCAAATATTAAAATATTTTTTATTTAAAAACCGGTGAGTTTTTCTGAAAAACTCCTAAACACGTATGTTTTATTTTGTTTTTTTTACATATTTTAAGATTTTTTAAAAATGTATACAGGGTGTTTCGAAAAATCTGGTCATTGATTAATCACGATCCTGCTTAAAGCGCTTGACGTAAAAAGCTAATTTTTGGAAAACAGATTGACTTTAGGGTGTAGAGGTTCGATAAGAAGGGATTTGTCGAAACTCGAATTCTAAGAGGGTGAACCTATCCCTCAAATATTAAAATATTTTTTATTTAAAAACCGGTGAGTTTTTCACAGGGTGTTTCATAAAATATGTATGACCATTGAGTCAATGTATATATGACCATTGAGTAATCACGATTCTGCTTAAACTGCTTGACGTTTAAAGCTGATTTTTGGCAAACGAATTGACTGTGGGGTGTAGAGGTTCGATAAGGAGGGGTTTCTCGAATCTCAAATTCCAAGAGGGTGAAAACGCCCCTCAAAATATTACAATATTTGTTATTTAAAAAACGGTAAGTCTTTCGGGAAAACGCTTGGACAAGCATAATTTATTTGTTTTTTTACATATTTTGAAATTTTTGAAAAAATCATACAGGGTGTTCCAAAAAGATGGGTAATTTCTTAACCACCATTCTGCTTAAACTGCTTGACGTAAACAGCTTATTTTTGGCAAACGGCTAAAGCCAAATTCCAACGAGATGAAACTATCCCTCAAATATTACCAAGTTATATAATAATACACGAAACTAGATTCCTATCAGCCAATAGAACAGGCAGGCTTTCGAAAAGGTTTTAGTACCATCGATCATCTACAAACAATTAAAACAGTCATTGAAAAAACAACAGAATACAATATACCTCTACATTTGGCCTTTGTAGACTACCAAAAAGCCTTTAACAGCTTCGAAACCTGGTCATTTCTAGTTGCAATGGAGGACGAGAGAATTGATTCCAGATATTATTCCATTATTAAAAATATCTATGATAGTGCAACCTTCCAAGTTAAATTAGATGATGACCTCAAAACAGAAAAAATACCACTCGGCAAGGGCGTGAGACAAGGAGATACCATCTCTCCCAAGTTATTTACACTGACACTGGAAAATGTCTTCAAGAAATTAGAATGGGAAAATAGAGGTCTAAACATCGATGGGGTACACCTTAGCCATCTGAGGTTCGCAGACGATATTGTCTTGCTGAGCACCGACATTCAAGCACTAAACACCATGCTAAATGAGCTAAATGACCTATCCCAGAAAATTGGCCTTAAAATGAACTTGAAGAAGACCAAGATAATGAGCAACAATATCCATAACATTACCGTTATTATTGAAAACGTAGACCATTATATATATTTAGGTCATAAAATCAAGCTGGGCAAGGAAAACCAAAATACGGAGATCAAATGCAGGATCCATTTGGCATGGGTAGCATTTGAAAATATGAGCGATATTTTCAAGAATGAATCTAAAGAAAAGGCTTACGACAGCTGCATTCTACCTGTGCTTACGTATGGCTTAGAGACTATGGCAATTACCCGAACAGCAGAACAACTACGAGTAGCACAAAGAGCCATGGAAAGAATCATGTTGGGAGTCACCATTAGGGAAAAAATACGGAATACCTACATACGTCAAAAACAAAATTAATAGATGTCGTTAAAAGAGTGGCAAGTCTGAAGTGGCAATGGATAGGACATGTGGCAAGACAGGATCCAGACCGATGGCCCCAAAAAGTAATCCTATGGAGACCTAGGGGAACAACAAGAAGTGTGGGCCGACCAAAAAAGAGATGGGTCGATGACGTCAGGGCAGTGGTGGGAAGACAATGGATAAGATTGGCTAGAGATTGCGAAGCATGGAAAAACCTAGAAGAGGCCTATATCCAACACTGGATGGAACCAGGCTGAGAAAGAAGAAAGAAGAATAATAACATCTCATGTTGACATAAATATGAAAAAATGTTATCCAGTTTTTATGTTAATGGAAATTCTTGCTTTGCTTTATCATCACCATTACAAATGATTAATTCGACGCGAACGAAGTCGCTGGTACACGCTAGTTAATTATAAAATAATAGAATAATATTTATAAATACTTGGACGTTACATTAATTAATAGTGCATGCGCCCCAAGTGTTTCTTATAACGGATATATATCAATCTGCCGGTTTGCATGTGTGGTGGCAATACGAAGGGCTAGAAAATTAAAAAAAAAATACGAATGCGTTAGATATTTAAAAGGAATGTTAAGTGAACCCTAAAGAAGCTCCTATTTAAAAGACTCACTATTTGGACGCGACCAAAAGTATATATCATTTTCAGTACCACACTTTATTGATTAAATTATGTTATTCTCGTGATCCTTGAATTTCCTTTGAAATAAAAAAATAACCATGCCCGAGAATGTCCAGGTAACTTTTTTGCAACTTTGTGTGTGACTCTCTTAATCATTTCTCAACATTTTCTTACGCCTAAAGCGTTAGATTATTTAAAAGCATACTTTTCTTCATGTAATTTACTCAATTGGTGGAATAAATTAGTGGTTTCAATTACACTTTATATTTTTTACTTTACGATCATTCACAATGTCTAAAAAATACAATTAAAATTAATATAATATCCTAGCAACAGCTTGCGGTAGTCAGTTGTATCCATAGAGAAAGCCTAATATTTAGCTTACAAAACAATCAATTTTCGCCAAAATGATATTCTTCGCAAATTTTGAAGTATAATTAGTGGAAAAGTCAAAAGTTTGTTAACTTTTTCTACTAATTGAAAAAGACTACCACTAATTTTGACGTTCTGAATGCTTACACAGGGCCGGCGCGGCGGAAGGGAAATATTGAGACCGGGCGAGTACCCTACCTGGCGCCCCCCTTCCCCCCCCTAATACACTACTCAAAACAATTATCGCATATTTGAATAAAAGTAATTATTACATATTTCTAAATGAAGCATGCATTTTTCTGCATTTCACTTTTGAGTTTTTTAGGATAATTAGGGCACTGACATAATAATAATAGTAATTTTTAATCGGCCGACTATTTAACTGCAAAAATGAAAACAATATATTTTTATGTAGTCGATCGGTCCAATATTTGATTGCATTGCTTAGCGTTAGGCTATACGCTGACGGGCAATTTTTAATCGGTCGACATTTACTTGCATATTTGTAACCAATATATTTCTATGGAGCCGT